TTTACTGGACTTATAAGTCTATTTCTTTCACCAGGTAGGGGAAGTTTTCTGTCATTGTTTCTTTAAATAGGTTTTCAATATCTTTCTCACTCTCTTCTCCTTCTGGCACCCCCATAATGTGAATGTTGGTACATTTGAGGTTGTCCCAGAGGCTCCTTACATTATCTTCATATTTTTGGATTTTTTTCTTTTTGCTCTTCTGATTGGGTGTTTTTTTCTTCTTCATATTCCAAATCATTGATTTGATTCTTGGAATCTTCTACTCTACTGTTGATTCCCTGTAAATTATTCTTTATTTCAGTAGTGTATGCTTAACACGTTAAGCGCCCAGCCTGTTTTGTCTTCTGGATGGAAAGTATAGTGCTTAACGTGTTAATTTCTGACTGGTCCCTTTTCATGTCTTTGATCATCACTAAGATCCTTGAAAGTCTCATGAAGATCCTTGAGTAACCTTATAACCATGATTTTGAACTCCATACCTAGTCGTTTGCTTGCTTCCATTTGTGACATTTCTTTGTCTTTGCATTTTGGCTGCTTCCCTGTGTTTGTTTCTGTATTAGGTAGAGCTACTATGTCTCCTGGAATTGGTAGAGTGTCCTTGTGTAGTAGGTGTCCTGTAGGGCTCAGTGGCTCAGCCTCCCCAGTCACCTGAGCTGGGCACTCTATGTGCGTCCCTGTGTAGGCTGTGTGCACAGTCTTGTATTTGAGCCTTGATTGCTACTGGTATCACTGGGAGGAGCTGACCTCCAGGCTAATTGGCTGTGAGGACCAGTTGTGACTGCAGTGGGAGAGCTGCTATATAGGAGATATCCCTATGGAGCAGGACTTGCTTCAGTGGGGCTTTGGTGCTCACTGAATCTGCCTCTTGAGTGTGTTGTTTGTGGATGTGTAGAATTGTAATCTGCTATGGTCTGAAGTTGTCCACCAGATGCACTGGCTCTAAGGCAGTGGTTCTCAACCTTGGCTGCACATTAGAATCACCTAGGAATCTTTTTAAAATCCTGATTTCTGGGCCTCAGCCTCCGGAAATTCTGTTTCTTTGTTACTAATGTGGTCCCACCGCATAGCAAAGAAACAGAATTTCTGGAGGATGAGGCCCAGAAATCAGGATTTTAAAAAGATTCCTAGGTGATTCTAATGTGCAGCCAAGGTTGAGAACCACTGCTCTAAGGCCTCCAAGGAGGTGCAAAGTCAGCCACTGCCTGGGGTCACCTGGCAGGAGCTACAGAGGCATCAGCTGACAGCTGCTATTTGTATTTGTATTGAGCTTGGAGGTGCCCAGGTGAGGCCCAGCTGTGAAGTAAGGCAGGCTGGTGCTAATGCTGGGTCTTGGACCTTTTATTGATAGGTTTGGGGCATACTGTCATCAGCTGCAGCTTGTTTGAGAGATTTTAGCAAAGTCTGAAGCCTGAGTCAGGACAGGTCATTCTTATGGAAATGCTGCTGCAGACAGCGTGGGTGGGGCTGCAAATTGGATGGGGTGGGGGGTCTCAGGGAATCACCAGGGTGGAGCAAACAGTGTGCTCCAGGCTGATGGAGACTCAGATATGGCTGCTAGTCAGGTCTGGGACAGGGGAGGTCCCAGCACAGGAATAATGATCCCTGTGAGCACCCCCATCTGGAAGAAAGCCACCTCTAAGTTCCTGCCCTGATGTCAGACAATCCAGTTCCTCCTTGTATGTGTCTGGGTCCTCCAAAGCTGCCAGGTGCTGAGAATCTAAGAGTGTGTGCCAGCTCTTTAACCCTTTGCGGTCCAATTTTATTTTTGGAATTCAAACAGTCTGGTCCAAATTAATTGACGGGATTGAATGTTGAACCGGTTTGCGGTGTCGACCTCAGCCTTGACGTTGGACCTGCTCCTAGCGCCTGGTCTGTCGAGTCAGCCTCCACGTTGGACCGAAAAGGGTTAAATGGAACACCTTGGTGGACTCTAGCAGCCTCTGTGTTCCTCAGCCACAATCACCACTGGTTTTTATAGCCCATGGTTGAGGGGACTTCTCAGCTCTAGAATCCTGGGCTTGGGGGCTGGTGTGGGGCTGGGACCCCTTGCTCCTCACGGGTGGCCTCCGCAGAGACGATCTCCCTCCTGATTAAAAAACGGCATACGTGAGTGTCAGACAAGCCTGGTCTGAGTCTCCCCCCCTCAGTGTGCTTTCTTCTTTAGTTCTCTAGTTGTAGGACTTCCATTCAGCCAGCTTTCAGGCGGTTCTGAATGATGGTACTGTATTTTAGTTGTAATTTTGATGTGGTTGTGGGAGGCATTGAATACAGGCGCTTATGCATGCTGCTATCTTGACCTCTTTTTAAGAGGAAACTGCCAACTCTTTTTTAATAAAAGCACTTTTAGACCTACTGTTCTTTTACTGCTTCTGAGTATCTGAAGTTCACATGCACTTTACATATACTCAAAGGGGAACACCATCCTGAATATCCTTTTACGGCAACATGCCCATTCCTCGCAGAGTTCTAGGCCTGAAAGTCACGCAGAACTATCTAGAGCAGCGGTTCTCAACCTGTGGGTCGAGACCCCTTTGGGGGTCGAACGACCCTTTCACAGGGGTCGCCTAAGACCATCGGAAAACACATATATAATTACATATTGTTTTTGTGATTAATCACTATGCTTTAATTATGTTCAATTTGTAATAATGAAATTGGGGGTCACCACAACATGAGGAACTACTAAAGGGTCGCGGCATTAGGAAGGTTGAGAACCACTGATCTAGAGAATTTGGAGTTGTAGAACTGGGCTTGAGAATGGAGTTGTTAGTGAGACAGTCACATGTTAAGACTTTTTTGTGCTGAAATATCCAAATCTTGCCACTCCCTTTGAAGTAGCGTAAGAGTCTGATGCCCTTCGATATCACCACCAGTCAGTTCTACCTCCTAAATGTCTCTCTTGCACCTGTCTGTTCTCCCCTCCCCTCCCAACCTTCTGCAGAGCCATCCTCTTCTCTGCTTGGACTTGGTCTCCCTGGACCATTGGATGCTCTCCATACTTTTGGTTCCTCATGCACACAGGGTGAGGTCCAGCCTTCTGGTTGTGTGGCTCTACTTGTTCTTGCTGACTTCATTTCCTTCCATTCTCTGTCTCACATCACTTTGCTCTGGCTACTGGGTTTTCCCAAGCTCATTATCCTGAGCCACCTTAAGACAGTTTTCCTTAGACTTGGATAGCCTCTTCTCTTGCTTTTCACTTCCAGCCCTTCCTGTCTCAGCCCCCTGGCTTTCTAGACAAGGTGAGTCCTGTTACCTTCATGGCCCTTGTCAATGTTTCAGATGATAAGTCTGTTCATGGTTGTTTAAGATGCAATCTCTGGAGACCAGTGGTTCTAAGAGTAGGACGCATGTTTTGTTGTTAATTTATTGATGTTAGAGAAACAACGGCTTGTTGTTCCACTCATTTATGCATTCATTGATTGCTTCTTGTATGTGCCAGACCAGATATTTGAACATACAACCTTGGTGTCTCAGGATGTGCTCTAACCAACTGAGCTACCCAGCCTCGGCCAGAAAGCATGTTTTTTATCACATACTGGTACACTGAAGATGCTCAATTATTTATTGAATGGATATGTAGTCCCTTCCAGGGTTTTAGAAAGGCACTTAGTGCTACGTAGCTTTCTGGAAGGGTCTCTAATGTATTAAGTTGTACAAGTTTCTGCAGTGGTTAGAGGAGACATAGGAATTGGCTACCTCCTTTGGAATGTGGGGTAGAGCAGGTGGCTACCACTGGCCATCTGAGAACAGCACCTTCACGGAATGCCCTTTGACTTTCCAACCTGGGCTGAACCAGAGTCACAGCTATATTCCCAGTGGCCCTCCTGGACAAGCATGGAGTTACTGAGATTTCTCCTTGTTCTTTTTTGTCTACTTGCTTGATAATCAGAGAAAACATTTATATGAAATGAGCAGTTTTGTTATAAAATGTCTAAAGGAGAAAGATATATGAACTCAGCTAAGTTTTCTAATTAAGTGGTTCAGTTAGACTTTTAACCTAACTTCAACTGGTTTTATCCTGGGGGTGGGGAAAATTGAAACCTTAGACACCAGAATGTGTTTATCATAGGCACAGCTAGGGTAGAGAGATACAGGGCAAACTCAAAACTCCGGACATTCAGAAAGGCAATCATTGGTTATCCTGCTCAATCTCACGAATAACTTAGGGAATGTAATCTGTGAACTAGCAGAAAACTTTAAGAATGGATGTTATAAATCTAAGAAACAAGATAAGTGGTTTCTTGGAACTGAGATTGGCCACATCACAGACACTTTTGTGTCACTGCCATTGGAAAAGTCAATCTGTATTAAACCCTTCAGTGACTTCTCTAAACGTCTCCAGCTTGGGCAACAGTTTCCCACTGCATCATGGTTTCATCTCTGATGTCTTTTCTCACTTGCCCTTCACTGGGCTTGGGAACTCCTGGGCGACAGCTCTCAGGAGATAAACCTGGAATGGTGCACAGAATTCTAGAAGCCAGCTCCAGGGGCTGGGGTAGCTCAGTGGGACCATGGGAGAACTGGGCAAGCGGAGGCAAGGACAGGGACTCTGCTGCTGGCAGGGACCAGGCCCAGCTGGCCCTGGATGGCTCAGCCTCAGAGTAGCATTTGGTCAGTGGGCTTACATTTATGGAAGACAGATGGTTTCAGCAAAGATGGAAGGAATGAGAAAGCTCACCTTTGCACGGTGCTGCCTCTGTCTTAAGTGCTGTCACCTTTCAGATGCTGGCTTTGCTAGCATGTCCCGCATGAAAAGGAAATCAAGGACAAGGGGTCTCTGCAAGTCTTAAATAACTGTTTTAAGTGCTCCATAATTCTCCCCACTTCAGAAATCTAGCCGTGAGGCAGTAACCACATCAAAAAGGCCACCGATTCACCAATGGCGTGGTGTGGGACAGCTCCGTGTGTGCCTGATCTGAGCCTGGGGTCTCTGTGACCAGGTCTCAGTGAACAGGCTCATCTGCAAAGGGTTAAAGGACAGAGGACACATGCCCAAGAGGCCATTCTTAGGAAACCTTTAATTGCAAATTCCATTCTGTGCATTGATTTTTGAGAAAAACAAAACAAAACATTGGAAATCTGTCTTTCCTGAGCATAAGAATACAAATGACAGTAAGACACAATTTAGTGGCTACTAAAGAACAGGATTTTTTTGTAATTAACATTTTAAAAGCCACTGTCATTTAAACAAAGTATTAACAGATTAGGGTGTAATCTTGTAGAAAGTTAATGAAAGTGTTCCTCCTGGGACACAGCACTATTTGGTGTGATCAGACTTCGGTGTTGGCATGTGATTTCTCAGCTCCATCTCTCGCTGCTGGCCGGCCAGTCAGCAGGCTGCCCCCTGGGCACTCCCAGCTGGCTCTACTTTGGGCCCGAGAAGGAAGTAAAGGCCTTGTCACAGCCTGCCATGCATGCTTCGATTTCCTCCACCGTGCGGGGCACACAGGTCAGCAGCTCTGTGCCACTGTCAGTCACTGCGATGTCCTCCTCGATGCGGACCTGGGTCAGACCGATGGACTCAGTGTTTCTAAGCTGGCCTCACTCTCAAGATTAGAGGGCCAGACCTGCCAGCTCAGGCTGACCGTCACTGAGTGGGAGAAGCCCTTTCAGGGGAGTGGTCAATACTGCCTTGACCAAAGGGGCTGGCCTCAAAGGCCTTTGGGTGACAGCTAAGAGGAAGGCTCATCCCCTGGGGCATGTGCTCATGTCTCCTGCCCACCCTGTCCTTGCCCTTGCACCCTGCCAGGTGGATAGGAACCCCTGGAGTGGGCAGGGGTTTGCAGAATTTGTCTCTTCTGCTGAGGGCTGAGGCACCTGTCCCATGACAGACCACAGGAAAGGGCAAGCCAGGCCCTTCTCAAGTGGGGAAGTCAAGACTGTCCCTCCTCTCACTAGGGCTCCTGTTCTGGGACAAAGATGGCAGGCAGCAGCAGGGGGTATTCTGGGAGCAAGGACGTGGGGCCCATTGATTGGTACTCACCCCACCAAACCCGCGGAAGCGCTGCAGGACCTCGCGGTTAAAGAAGCAGGCGCGGGCTGGGTCAGCCAGGGCCTCATCCAGGAGGTGGTCGATGAAATAAATGCCCGGCTCCACAGTGAGCACCATGCCTGGCTCCAGGTGCCTTGCAGTGCGCAGGCTCCGCAGGCCGGGCTCATCAATGCGCTCCACGCCCTGCGGTGAGAGGGCAGGTGAGGGACACCCTAACGAAGCTCCCCTCTGCCCATGCAGGCGTCCTATGTGAGGGCTGGCTCCAGCCTGTGGTCTGGCTGCAGCGGCAGGGGAGGCTTTGGGACTGGGGTCTGCAGCTCAGCCCCCCTGCAGCGCTGGGCACAGGCACTTCAGAGGAGACCCTGTTCTCTGCACACACCCCAGATCTTAGTGGCCCTGCCCGTTACCCGAAGAACTGCCTGCGGGAGCCCTGTGGACACCACATGCACACACACAGGGCAAGCGGCCCAGAGGGCTGGCTGTCCGGCGGCCCTCACCTGGGCCTTCTCCGCACCAGGAGAGCAGAAGCCAAAGCTGTGAAGCCAAAAAAGCTCTTAAGGAGGCTGCGAGGCAGCCTGGGCTGCATCCCTTCTTTCAGGCAGCTCAGTGGAAACCAGCCCCAGAAGTGCTGGGCCTGGCCCCCCAGGCCAAGTGGGTTTTCCATGTGGTCTTCCAGGGGGAGGGGCAGGTGCTGCCATCAGGACGGGCCTGCCAGCCCCAGCTCTGGTGTGTATTTGCACAAATGCACGCGTACTCCATGTACTTGGCTCTTGCCTAGACTTGGGGCTACCCAGCTCAGCCCTGGGCAATGGCTCCCAGCCCTTTAGGAGGAGTGAGCAGCAGCGGCAGCTGCTTCCTGCAGAGGCATCCCCTCCCCGACATGACCCAGCCTGGGCCCGTCTTCTCACACGGGTGTAGCTGACAGGGCTGCCTGGCTGCGAGGGCAGGTGGTGCCTAGGACACTTGCAGAATTCCCCCATCTCCCCCAGGTCCCTGAGGCAAGGCCTGGGAGTGAGTGGGCAGCAAGCAAGCTTTCTGGTCAGCCGTGAACGTGCCCGGCCCCGCTCGCAGCAATCCCCTGCAGCCCAGCTGCTGGAGACGGAGCTGTCACTTCTGACTGTTTGGGGGCCAAGAACATCAGACTTCAATTAGTGGTTCATGTAAGGTAACCAGAAACAGGCTGGCTCAGCCTCCATGGCTGGGCACAGCGGGGAAGGCTGTGACCATGATTCCATGAGGGTGGGGACAGAGGGGCACACAGAGAAACTGGCGTGCACAGCCACTCTGACCTGGCGTGAGCCATGCTGGGATGGAGGTGTGGAAGGGACACAAGGCACCGTGACCCCTGTGGGTCATGCTCTGGGCACAGAAGCCTGTCTGGTGGTGTACCCAGCCCCACAACACTGTTTGCCTTGAGGGGGTAAGGCAGGAGGGTGGGGGACCCGGAAGGGTCCAGTCTGGAATGGCAATCCTGGTGCCAAGTGACTGGGGTATCTCCTGCCCAGAAACTGCTTGTCAGAGCTACGAGTCGGGGTCCCTGCTCCTTCCATCTGAAGTCTGTGCTGCCCTGGGCTCCCCCACTCCTGTCCCTTAACTTCATGCTACCCCCAAGTGTCTGTCCTCTTTTTCACTCCAAGGTTGCCAAAGCCAGGGGCCTGGCAGAGGCAGAGACCCGACAACGTCATGTCCCAGCTCCCCTCAGTCGCTCTGGGCTCAGCAGAGCTGTCCCAGGGACGTGCGGAGGGGAGGGGGATTTCCCGAGCTTGTACTCAGGCAGGCTTCCTTCCCCAAATGTCAGGTGAGGAGAGGGAAGAATGGCAGGAATCCCTGGGGGGGCACAGGCCACCAACTGCTGCCTTCAGAGCATTCCTGCTCAGGAGTCTGCCCCGGGGCTAACAGGACCGGCCAGAGCAGGGCTGGGAGGACAAGGCTGGGCCGAGTGCAGAGCAGATCCCGCTAGGGAGAGGCCGAGCCTCCAGGCCCTCTGGCCCAGGGGCTCCAGCCTTGTTGGAGGTGGGGGGCGCTGGCCTTTGCCTGGCCCACACGGGGTTACACCCAGACAGAGGGCTTGACAGGGCCTCAACTTTTACTGGGCTCCGAGCAGAGGAGACCCAGATGTGTCTGTAGGCCTGAAGTAAAACAAATGACTTTTATAGGAAAAGCCATATTTTTTCCACAATGTTTATCTGTCAGAAGAATAGGCTGAGCACAAAGGGCTGCTTACTGGAAAAGATGAAAACAGTTTGCTGCCAATTTTCTCTGGTGGAAAAAAAGTGCTTTGGCGACTAATGAATAACGAACCTCAGTTAACAATGTCTGGAAGGCCCTGCTCTTGGCTCCCTGTACACAATGTGATGGATAGAAATTAGGAAATTAAAACTGATTTTGTTTCTCCAAATTTAACTGTTTACACTTGAGGAAAAAATAATTGAATAATAATGCTTCTCTTGAGCAATCCCCCCTAACCCCCCACCCCCCCAAAGTCGTTCTTAGTGCTTTCAAAATACCCTGCAGCCAGCAGGCCAAGCCTAGTCTTGGCTAACTGGCTGGTGGGCCCCAGGGCGTGCACTGGTTGCACAATCAGCCCCTGCGCCCTGGGCACCAGGCCAGGCGGCAGGGCCGGGTTCGCCCCCACCCACTGGGGCCCGAGAGGCTGCAGCCACCTGCCGGGCAGGGCCTCCTGAGGGCCCTCTGGGTGGTCCTTTCGAGGATCAGTCGGTAGGAGGTGGATGGGAAAGCCTAGCTGGGGACGCCCACACAAGCCTCCCCGCTGGCCAAGGAGAGGAGGAGGCCACAGGGACATGCTGGCCCAGGGGCCTGATTGGTCAGAGGGTGCTCCAGGGAGGGTCAGGGGTCTGCTGCTGGCTTGTGAGAGCACTGGGCTCAGCTGGTCTCAGGAGGAACCAGGGCCAGCCACCAGCTGGTGGAGCCCTATCACCCCAGTCTGAATGAAGCCAGAGGCAGGAGAACATGACGAGTACAGTGCCAGTCCCATCATTAAGACCCAGCTTCGGGGCTCCCGCTGCCCTGTGGGGACCCCATGCATGGCACACTGACCACTTACCAGCCTTCAGGAAAGGCCACACCCAGTGCTCCACCCAGGGCTCACTGTGCAGACACCGGCAGGCCCTGTGAGGCGGCCACTGGAGGAGGCATGCTCACAGAAACTCCCGCCTTGGCCTTGGGGGTGCGGACACTGTGGCAGCAGCCTGGACCAGGACCAACCAATAGGTGGAAGGGGAGGAGGGGCATGAGCCTTGCCTGACTCACTGCACTGCAGCTGTCTCTCAGAGCCCTAACCCACCCTGGGGAGTTCAGGTTCAGCGACAGCCCACAGGCAGGCTACTTGGGCCGACATGTGCACACTGACCTCTGGGTAGCCTCCCACGTCGTGCACATCAATGCCCAGGAAGTGGCCGAGCCCATGAGGCATGAACACGGCTCCCAGGTGGGCCTGGACCATGGCATCGATGCTGCCACTCAGGATGCCGATGCGGGCCAGCTCCTCCAGGTGGATGCGGTCAGCCAGGCGGTGCATGTCAGGCCACCAAACGCCTGCGGCTCAGAAGGAGGCTGCAGTAAGTTGTGGAGACTGGCGGCCTGGCCAGGGCTCCCCAGGGCAAGATTTGGGGGACACAAAGCCCTCACTGGCTGAGGCGGGATGTCCTGAGGTGAGGGGCAGGGGTGATGAGGCTGGGTGCCCTCCATGCAGGGCTTGCCTAGCCACAGCTCTGGAACTTAACCCCACCTTCTCCACTGGGTCCTCAGAGGCAGGCTTCTGTCACCCATGGCCAGGGGCCTAGACAGGTGTGCTCCCAGGCCATGCTATCTGTCCCTGTCCCCGGCCAGTGTGTGCTTTGGGGGCCATGGGATCTCAGCCAGATCACTGGGCATCAGAAGGAGAGCTGAATGTCCCCATCAGTGGATGTGGGGGAGAGGGGCTGCAGGGAACCCCAGGAAGGCTCAGGCCCAAACACTGCTCATGAGCCTCAGGCTGTGGGGCCAGAGGAAGCCATGGCTGGGGAGAGGGGCCCTTCTGCAGCTCCCTCCTCCCTCCCCTCCATGGGGCTGAATCTCTCTGGGAGCCACTGTAGGAGAACAAAGGTTTCTGGGGTGAAGGTGCAGCTGGCACAGCCTCACGGGCTGGCTGGCAGGGGTCTGTGGCCCCGCCTGCTACAAGCTCTGGGTGACCATCTCTGCGGCAGCCCAAACATCCAAGCCCCAGGCTGCTAATCAAACTCATCTTTGCCCCACATTTCTGGGGCAAAGGTCACTGTGGACAGCATTCCCAGGCACTGAGTTTCGGGGTGAGCAGGCTCTCCAGGGCTCTGTGGCTCAGCCCTGCCTGGATCCCCAGGGGCCTTTGGGGGCCGCAGCCTGGGGCTTTTGGAGAGGCATGCTCAGCCCTGCCCATGGGCCCCATGGAGTCCACCTTCAGCCTTGCTCAAGGCGCTAGGCACGCAGCACAAGCACCACATAGGGACCTAGGCCAGTGAAGCTCCTTGCCCCACCTCACGAGGGCTGTTTGGGCAGGCCACGTGGCCCCAGGGCACCCAGGGCCAGGTGGACAGGGTGGGGGCCTGCACCTCTATACTGTGCTCTGGCCACAGAGGTGGTCAGCACCGGTCCATATAACCCCTTCCATGTGGCAACCCTGGCTCTCAAGACCCCCCTCTTCTGTGCCCTTCCCCTCCCTCCCCAGCCATATCCTGCTCTCTGCACAACCCATCACTGTTGATCTCCGCTGTAGGAGGGCAGCACTGGGATCCTGGACTGTGAGGGCTGCGCTGGTCCCTTGCTAGCCACGGCTGGGCCCCCAGGATCTGGCTGGTCTCAGGACTCTGAACCTCAGAGGACAGACGATGGCTCGAGGGGTAGAGGGAGATGGGACACAGGCCATCACCTCTCAGACACTTGAGCTAGGCACCAGTCCCCCAGATGGGGTCCCTCCCCTGCTAGAGATAGAGGCCCCACAGTTGGGGTCTTGGGTGGGTGTAGGCACAGGGCTAGTCCAACCTCTTGGGTCCCCAGGATCCAGGCTTTGAGCAGGTGGGTGGGGTGGCACCCTGGCTAGTTCACACGGCAGTGGCCAGTCCAGGGCCCCAGGTGCAGGGAGACCAGGGTGGAAGACACCGAGGCCTGTTCCTAGAGACAGAGCGCCTCCTTGGAGCCCAGCCCTGTTCTACACACCTTGGCCCACGAGGTACCGAGGTGGGGGTGGTGTCCTGGGGTCTGGAGTCTGGCTACTCTCTCCGTGGAGGGAGAGCCCAGCCTGCACCCCAGCTGGAGCCGGGGTGGGAGCCTTTTCTTAATGGATGGCATCCTGAAACGAAGACCCGGGACACTGATGCCAGCTCCGCTGCTCCGCGCTGTGACCAGGGCAAGCCTTCGCCTCTGTGAGCCTCCGAGGCCTCCTGTGTCAACATGCCCCGTGGTGCCTGGAGAGCTAGCTGCAGAAGCACCTTCCAGGGGACTGGGTCACATTCCCCGCAAACGGCCATAAGCCACTATTCACCCATCACTTGTGTCCAGCCAGACCCTGGGTCCACTTTCTGTTCACTCGTGGGCCACAAGCTGGGTCTGCTTCAGCCTTGGACCACTGCTCTTCTCCAAGACAGACAACCTCACCTCCCCCGCCTGCTCCCCAGGCAAGGCCACCCTGTGCCAGAAGCACACTAAGGTCTTCCCACCTCAGGCCCTTTGCAGACCGGGCCTGACCTGAGACTCCTCATCCTTGGGGACTTGGCATAAAAGTCAGCCCCGCCCTGGAGTCCTTCCCCAGTCACTCTCTTCGCTGTCCCAGTGATTTCTCTCCTTGTTCCTAATCCCCTAGTCAGGGCTGCCTCCCGCTCCTCCTGTGTCCTCCAGGAGAGCGATGCCCCCCCTCCTATCCTGCTTCCGCCAGAGGCTCCTAGCTTAAAAGGGCCCCGAAGCAGCTCTGCACACTTGGGAGGCCAGCCCCTGGGCTGAAGGGCATCCTGTGTGGTAGCCGATGCCCCAACCCCAGTGCAGCGCCGTCTCTTTGGCGGGGCCTTCTCCCGATGCCAAAGGAGAGCCCCCAGAAGCAGCCTGCCTTCGGACCTGGCAGCTTCCACAGTGGGCCTGGCCTCGGCAGAGGGGGATCAGGTATAAATCATGCTCGTGCTGGCAGCTCGGCTCCTCTCCTGTCCTCGTGGCCCCTTGTGGGGCCGGACGTGTGGGCCCAGGCGGTCCCCACGGCGCCTCTAGTCTTCCTCGCCTGCAGGCCCTCGGGAAGGCCTTGCACACTGCGCTCTTGGCCGGGAGTGAGAGTTTCTGCCTGTGTGTGGTTAGGGTTGTGACAGTGACTAAACCTCCAGTAACTTGGCCCAGCGTCTGGCCCGGATGGTGGTTACGACACCCATGGCCAAGGCAAGGGTCCCTGAAGTGTGTGGAGGCTGCTGTAGGGGTGGGGTGGGCACAAAGGAGGGGGTCCCCACCGTCTAGGCCCAGCCCACAGTTCGAGGCCCAGCCCACAGTTCGAGGCCCATGCCCTGACTCCCCGGCTCCCTGCGCCTCAGCAGCTCACAGGCCCCTCGGAGCCCACACAGCCCAGCCAGAAGCCATCAGAGGTCCCCCAAGCCTGCTCATACTGGGGACACCACATGCCATCTGCCTCCAGCACACACCAAATCTTGTCCTGTCGTCCCGAACATCTCCTGAATCTGAAGCCCCCCACCCCTCCTGCTTCCTTCCCATTCCTTGCAATGCCTCACCCCCCCTACCCCCTCACCCTGCCTAAGGCCTGGACACCAAGGCCACCTCTTTAGAATACAGGTCAGACGGGGCCAGTCCGTGTCCCGAGGACAGAGCCCTGAGTCCCTCAGCCCAGCTCCCGTCTCCAGCCTCACCCTCATCCACTCCCGGGACAACAGCACTGAGAGCGCTGCCTCCACTTGCTGCTTCCTTAGCCGGGACCACCCTCCAAGGGTCCTTCCTTCCCAGACTCACTTTCATTCCTCCTGTGGGCCTCTGTTGAAGCTTTCTCCAGGAAGCCCTCCCAGACTGCCCTCTCCGTGCACACTGGCAGAGCTGTGCCCTGGTTACAGCCTCTGAGCACTGAGAGGCGGGACCTGTGCCTGCTCCATGCCAGGTACACGTGTGGCCTGTGTATGAACCTCAGCCGTCTTCGTGGCTCTCCTGCAGCCAGCGCTGTCACCTCGTGGGCCAGGGTTTGGATGTGCACCCACCCCACCCCTCTGTGTACTCAGACCCCAGGTGGCAGGGTAACCTCTAGGTCTGTGCCCCATCACCTGCCTATTGATTCAGAGGGACCAGCCCCCAGTATGTATGCAGCGGGAGCCCCAGGTCACCAGCTGGTCTTCTGTGCCGACCTGGTCCCCCTCAGACCACACCTTGCCCTGATGAGCTGGAAGCCTGCTGGGCCTTCTGCTGGGGCTGGTTCCCAGAGCCTTAGCGGCATCCATCACAGCCTTGGGGCCTCCTGCCCAGAGTGTGACAGCCTGGGGGCTCGGAGGCCCTGAGCCAAGATCCCCCCTCCCCCAGCTCTTCAGCTGCATCCTCAGAGTCACTTCCAGACAGAGAGCTCACTTCATCCTAAGACAATGGCCCTCCAGGGATGATATATGAGCCAGGCCCTGGGGGGTGCAGGAGGGGAGGCTTAGGGCAGGGGTCCCAAGGCAGGCCCTGTGGGCTGCAGGGAGCTGCCTGGCAGGCTCAGCTGGCCCCGGGATGAGGGCCTCCAGCCCACCCCCCTCAGACCCCTGCCTGCTGCCAGGATCTCTGGGGACCCTCTCTCTGCAGAAGGGCAGGATAGTGTGTGCCCAAGTTACAGGCGCCTGGATGCTGAGTTGAATGTGGCTGCCTTGCTCAGTGTCCTCGTGGTCCCTCCCCCCGCACCCTGGCCGAGCGCCCCGCAGGAGTAAATGAGGCCAGGGTGGGCGGGAACTCACCCGCTGTCCCATAGCAAGCAGGAGGGCTTCCTAGGCCAGAGGGACCACACAGCGCCCAGAGACAGCCCTCCTGCCGCAGAGGGCACCTGTGGTCTGGGTGGCGCGCTGTCCCCGTACCTCTGTCAGCCGACCCCCACGGTCCTCACCATCTTTAAGGAGAGACCTGAGGAGAGTCCAACCCCTGCCCCACTGAGGGATACAGAGCCCGCAAAGGTGCCTGACCACAGGCCACAGGAGCCACGGGAGCCAGCACAGCTCCCGGTGCCCTTCTCCCACCCGGCCACCTCGGCTCTCACAGCATCCTCTCCTGTGGTCTGGCCCACTCGGAGCCAAGGCACTTCCCATAGGCAGCCAGAACCCTGACACCAGGGGCAGAGCCAGAAGTGGGGGCAGCTGCACACAACCGCACAGGTTGTACGTGGAATGACAAAGGGGTTGCTCACGCACACTGAGACACAACTGCTTCTACAGACCATGAAGGGCCCCAGAGCCCAGTGCGTGGTCTGCACCACCCGTGTGGGAGCCTGGGGGCGGGGCTCAGGAGGGCGGCCCTGCAGCCCCAGGCCAAGGTGACCAGGGTGGGCGGTGAACAAGGAGGGAGAGGGAGGTGCACTGGGTGCTGGGAAGTGGGAGGTGAGGCTGCAAGAGACCTGGGTGTTTAAGGGGAACCTCAGTGCTCTAGGGTGACTGGAGGGACTGGGTTTGCCGAACAGCCCAGGCAAACCCTTTCACTGCATCTGAAATGCTTACACAAATGACTGATGTTGTGCTCATCCCTGGGGTGTGAAGAGAGGAGACCAGCGTTTGGGGTGGAGGCTTCACAGAGGCTGTGTCTACAGGCAATGGGGTGCATGCCGGCTTACCAGTAAAGGTCAGAGCACGGAAAGGTCACAGCAAGCACTTCCTTCTCCCCAAGCCGCTGGCCCAGTGGTCTGTCCTGCACCTCCTCCGTGGACTGAAGCACACGCGAATCTGCCTCTCACTGCCTCCTTCCTCTCGCAGGAGAGGGCCCTGGCCGCCCCATCCTGCACTTGTCTTCACACGACAGTCCCCCGGGAGCTACCCCGCAGTAATGAGGACAAACTGCTGCTTTTCAGACAGACAATCAGCACAGATGCCGTTTGCTTACGCAGCCGCGAAACCAGGCAAGCCCCGTCAACATTGTCCCCCACAGAAGCTGACGTTTAGGTTTCCTTGTCTTCCTTTTGGGACATTTCTGAGCTCGTCCTGGGACTCATCTGGTCACCAAGCTCTGTTCTCGTTGGACAAGTGAGGGTGTGGAGTGGGGCCTGGCGTCCCCCCAGCACCCCTCCCTGGCTCCCCAGCTTCTAACAAGGGGGGAGGAGGGACCCAGGGCAGGCCGGGACCATCCTGCTCACATGCACCTCCTTGGAAGACAGTTGCCGAGGGCCCCTCAAAAGCAGCACTCGGCTGTAAGTCACCCCAGCAACTGTCTGTGGGGCCACAGGGGCTGTGGAGCAAATGCCGAGCTGCCGGTGCTGGGTCTGCAGGAAGCCCAGTGGGGCTTTCACACTCGGGCTCAGGACCTCTTCCTCTCTTTCCTTTTTAAAATGAATTCTCCTCAGAGGGATGCAAATCTAACTGCCACAGTCCCACTCACTGAGTATGAGCTCAGAGTCGGGTCTTCAAGGCCTGTCACGGCCAAGCCCCCCTTGGCCCTACAGCCTCTGCCTGTTCCCCCGAATACTGGAGGGACACTCGGTGCCCGCCAGACCCAGTGCAGCTGCTGGCCCTGAGCAAGAGGGCACCGCACGTTCACCCAGGTGCCAGTGTCCAGAGCTGGCCAAGTCGTGCCTGCCATGAACTCCACGCTGGGACACGGCAGGGAACGTGCTGACACCCCAGTGGCCAGGGCAGGCAGGGAATGTGCAGGTGGAGGTCAGATGGCACATGGGGCGACCTGGGCTGAGCTCTGACTCGCAGCTCTGTCCCTGCGCGGCAGCCAGCCCCCTTTCCAGGAGTGGCCCTGGGACCCGACACCACCTGAGCCTTACTGGCTGCTCATGTGAGGCGGAGATAGACTCGTATGGTCAAATGTTAGACCTGCTTCTCTGTGGTGCCCCCCACATCAGAGAGCAGGGCCAGGCACATCGCCACCTCCAACCCCACGCCAGGTGGCCCTCCTGCAGGCCCCCTGCCCTCACCTGGCTTCATGGAGCTCATGACGGCACGGCAGCTCCGCAGCACCGCCTTGTAGATGGCCTTCTGGTCTTCGGTGAACTTGCCATTGGCAGGAAAGGAGCACGTGATGTCAGAAGAGAAGCAGTAATACTCGCCGCCCATGTCAAATAGGCTGTGGGGAGAAGGCGGCATGAGGCCAGTGGGGTGCTCGGGAACACCCCTGCCCATCGCTTTCCTCCCACCAGGCGCTCAAGGGCACATCAGGGGGCTGAGCCCGAGCTGTCTCACGCTATGACTAGTTCGGGCAGCAGCTGGGGGCCTCCTACCCCAATGTCTTCTCACGGTGCACGAGCAGCAAAGAAACCCTGCCCGTCCCGGGAGACCTCTGACCCCAGAGCAGGAAGACCCTGGGCACACCCCGCCCTCCAGCACCTCTGCTGCCCAGCCACTGGATGCTCGGCTGTGGGGACTCACTTGGAGAATGAGGGAGGGAGAGAGGTGTCCCCAGGACCCTCCACCACCTGGCCTCCACGTGAGCATCCAACAGACCCTCCCAGGACTGCCCTGCTCCCAGCACAGGGCATGGCTGCAGCCCAGAGGCAAAGTACGTGGGCCTGGACAGGGCCCTTAGGATGGAAGCACCTGTCTGACAAGGAACATGGGCTGAGACGCACCGCCTGCCTCTCGCAGGCCCAGTGTCTCTGAAAACCCAGCAACAGGTCTGCTTCAGCTCTGGCCAGAGCAGAGTGTCCCTCTCCCTGCTGGGATGGACAGATGTGCTCTGCAGTGCCTGACAGAGGGAGAGCCGCCGCGTCCAGCAGGGTTTTCCCGGGGCCTGGTCAGCCGCACACCACCCTTGGGCTGCCCAGAGCCCCAGCGTTCCCAGGGGCAGAGCGGGACCAGCAGGCCCGGAGGGAAGGAGTGGAGACAGAGAGGATGGACGAGGCCTGGAGCTGGCGGCGTAAGCCAGCAGTGGCAGGTCGGTGCTGGGACAGATGGCCGGCCGCTGAGTCAGGAGGACAGGCCGCGATGACCTGCCCTCTGGACATCCCGTGACAGGGTCAGGAGTAGGCTAAGCCGCGCTCCCACACCCTTGCTGCCAGACTGTGCACACAGGGCCCCCAGGCCTCAGGACCCTCGCCCCCTCCACAGTGGAGTGGGATAGAACACACAGGGGCTGCTGGGTCCAGGCATGGCTCCCACTGGGCCACCAGGCTGACTAGGGCCCGGATGGAAGGAGTAGGGTGCTCAGACAGAGCGCCCCTCCCCGTCTTGTCCCACCGGAGCACTCGGCAGGCTGCTCAAGGCAAGCACAGGGTGGGCGCCCACCAGCCCCTCACCCTTCACAGGGTTGGGACCAAGCTGAGGGACATGGTTTGGCCCCAGGCCTGAGATCCTGCGGACCACAGAGCCAGGTGGAGCCGAGATGGAGGGGCTGGCGTGCGTGACGGGCTGGAGCCCCGCTCGGCTTGGTGCCTGGCTGCCAGCTCCCCGTGGGGGCCTGTCTGCAGCCACACATATTCTGGGAACCCGAGCGAGTGCAGGGGCAGAGCCGTGCCTTCCACTCCTACAAGGGCCTCTCACCCAAACCCAAATTCTAAAGGTCAACACAGCCGCTCAAAGAATGTTCTAGAAGCTGCCTGTGTCTTTGGGGGCCCCTACCCCACGGTAGCGTGGGGGACTCCAGCCCAGCTCGTGGAGCAGGGGGCAGGCCACGTGGCATGACAGGCAGCACCAAAACAGATTTTTAAAGGAAAACACTGAAAGCTCAGGATCCCCGGGTATTTTGCTGGAATACAAAGTTCCTAGCTGGGCACCCTTTAATCTCCCGTCTTTTTCCAATTGCAAAACACCACAAGCAGTGTCAACAGTGCAAAAACCACCAGATAACACCTCAGGTGACTCTCAGCCCCCAGCAGCATACAGGGGAACTGTGGGTTAGGTCAAAGTCACAGGATCGAGGGGGCCCTGGGCCTCACTTGAGGTGACCCGCCCACGCCCGGTGTGGGAGCCGGGATGATAAAACAGAGAGGCCCTGAACAGAAACGCCCGGGCACCTGTTCGCCAGGAGGCTGCAGATGCAACAGGTTTGGGCCAGCCGCTCCCTGCAGATTGACTCCTGCCCAGGGCTGGCTGGGAAGATGGGCACATCTTTCCTCTAACTACTGAGGCTCTGAGTCGGGGGTCATCAGCTGAGAGACCAGACAGAGATGGGTTCTCCTGTCCTGGCTCCAGCACTAGGCCTTCAGAGCCTCAGTGTTCCCGCCTTTAAAATGGGGACAGCCACAGTGCTGCAGGCTTATGTCCTCTCGGGGCCAGCGTGCAGGCAGGCATGGGACAGAGCTGCGTGGGGCCCTGGGCCAGTGTCACCCGGGAGCAGAGCATTTTCATCCGGGTTCCTCGGAGGCAAGAAAGGAAAATGGTTTGTGGCTTGTTGTTCAGAACATGCAGGAATGGATGTTAAGACAGGAGCGTGGGGGACACAGATGCCGGGGCCGCCACATCAGAAGGCGCCCTGCAGCAGCACCCTGGGCACGGATCTCAAAGAAACACAGAAATTGCACTGTTTAAACAACCAGGAAGCCCCAGAGCACACAGATGCTACAGACACCTAACAGTGAACACGAGGCTTCCCAGGCAGACAAGACGACCGAGTCCCCTGCTCTGCTCAATAACCCAGAGAACACGGGGTGCGGGTGCACGGAGGGACTCGGCCGGCCTGGCCTTATCACTGAGATTCTCCAAGGCCTCAGCTGTATATTTTGTTTTAAAATCATCCGCTTTCTGGAGAAGGAAGTACACAAGCAGCCGGCAGCTCCATCCTGCCCAGCGACGCGCAAGCACGGGGCTCAAGTCTATTTTCGTGCTCTCAGTTCCCTATCTTTCTGCTTAAAAAAAAAAAAAAAAATCCCTCCCCCCTGCCCCCCCCGAAGTTCCTGCACACATGAGTTATTCAGATTCAAGCCATTCTGGAACCAGGGACGAAAGCCATCTCTTTTATAAATCATCTCCCGCTAACTCCTCTGTGTCCACTTCACCCGTCCTCTGAACGCAAGCTGACGATGGAGAATTCAGTCATACTTTGGCTCAGCCGAGGACGCAGGGTCCCTCCTCCCTGGCTGCCTGGAGACACCACCAGGAACCCTACCATCCTTGGCTGCGTGAATGTGTGTGATAATGTAAGACATCTGGGGAGATATTACACATCTCCAAGCAACATGCTGGCCTCCCGTTCCTCACATGTGTTCATCTGCTTCTATTTCTGGCTGGGATGAGAGGTTCTGTCTTCCGTTGGCTCCTCCCGGGCAGCTTCATGCCCGGGCTACCTGCCACCACAGGCCCACCCAGCCCCTCCCCAGCCCCTCAGCTCCCTCGGTCCCACTGCAGGGACCAGCCAGCCCACAGGCAGGCGGCCTACAAGCTGACTTGGCCAGTGACGAGGTTGGGAGCAGTTGGGGAAAGGCTGCAGTGCTTACACAAGGGCCACTCTGCACTCAGCATGTAGCTTCATTTTAACCTCCTGAGTTGTGGCCAACACTCACTACCTCTCACCCAAGACTGATGCGTACATGCACGTGTGTGCACGCATACACCCAGCCCTGAGGACAGGAGCATTTCAGACCCCAACTTGCAGCCACCCAGTGTGCGTTCGAGGCCAGGCCAGGGGATTTCTGAACAGCAGGAAACCCTCGCTTCCCTTCAGACCTTAGCGTGAGACAGAAAGGAAGGCGTACCGGTCACTTCCAGCTTATGGGCCGCAGTGGGCAGCCCCTGCAGAGAGGCCCCTGAGCCAGCCGCCCACTCCCAGCCAGACGCTCTGTGAGTGCCAAGCCCAGGTGTGCCCATGGGGCAAAGACCATCACTGGAGTCCTGGAGGTTCCCTCTGGGCCACAGGCTGACCACCAAGTAGACCTCTTCCCAGCGCCTTCGGGCATCCCTGCTCCCCAATCCAGCCACGCGACAGTGCCCCCGAGGGGCAGGAAGACAGGAAAGCCAAGCAGCAGCTCCCATGGCCAGCAATCCCAGCACATTTGGGGACAAGAGCAGGTGCGGGCTGGGGCCTCCTGAGTGTCTGGAAAGAACTGCGGTCTGTTCTACAGGGAACAGGGCAGGAGCAGAGCAGCAATGTGGGCCACGTCCCCAGGAAGGACACCGCAGGCACCTGGTCTGGTGTGTGGGTGGGACGCAGTGGCTGCCCAGCCCTAGGGCTTGCTGCCACCGCAGCACAGTGGGGCCAGGGCTGGGAGCAGGGCAGCGGCCTCCGTGGGGGCGGCAGTGAGTCGGCGTCACGCGCGCAGCACATGCTGCGCTTCACTTTTTGGTCAGCACTGTCCCGTGGTGTCTGTGAGCACCCGGGCCGTCTGGACCAGAGCTTTTCACACTGGGCTGTGAAGTCATCTGAGTGGGGCGTGGGTAAGAAACATACACTAAATGGATGGGGAGAAAGCACATGGTCAGGGTGCCTGGTGGAGCCTGGTGCGTGTGTGTGTGCACGAATGGTGCTGCTCACCAGACAGAACACTGCAGGCAACGGCCACGGGGCTGGACAGATGGCTGACCAGAGCCTGTGCCCACCTGAGAGTGTTCCTGAGGACTGGGCGTCTCCTTTAGATCTTGTGATCCTCAGGATGGGGCCGCTGGGGACAATCAGGTGTCCCTCTGAAGGAAAGGAAGGTGGAGGGGCCTGGGCTGGACTTGGCCTGGCCTGGGGGTGACACTCGTCCTGTAAAGCCCACTGGGGCATCAGGCACCAGGAAAAGAGGGACACAGACGCCCCCCACCCCAGCCCCTGGCCAGCTGGGGAGGAGTCCCAGCCCACATCTGCACTTCTGCAGGCCTCAGTGTGCAGACACCAGGCAGATATCAGACCAAGCGGCCGACAGGGTGATGGATGTCTGTGACAGAGACGCAGGCTGCTGTCCACAGACAGAGGGGGCAAGTTGAGGGTGAGCTTCCCAAGCAGTTTAAACTAATGTCCAGGCCACATAAAAGCTGTGGAATTAGCAGGGAACTAACTTGAGAGAAGGGGCAGGAAGGAGCCAGCTGGTAACAGCGCTATGAGCAGGAAAAGGGTGGCCAGTTGGGAAAAGAGCCTGCCCTGGCCATGACCCTTCATCTGCCGGAGGGAAGGGCAGGGCAGCTGGTAGAGAAGGGCTCTGATGCCATCTCAGCTCGGGGATGTGCCATGGGCAGCGGTTGGAGCAGCACATACCACCTACATGCCGGCCAGGGTTCAAAGGGCAGGGCAGCTGGTAGAGAAGGGCTCTGATGCCACCTCAGCTCGGGGATGTGCCTCAGCTCGGGGCAGCGGCTGGAGCAGCACATATCACCTACATGCCGGCCAGGGTTCGGGTGTCTTCAAGGGAGGAAACTGGTAGCTCTTACGCGTCTGGGAAAGAGAAGTGGGGCTTTGCTGGACGTGAGCGGTGTCCCCCTCTTCGCTGGTCAGCAGGGCAAGGCGTGTGAGAGCTGGGCTTCAGGCTGCCATAATCGGGGCAAGGAGACAGATGGGGCCCTAGTCCCACGACAGGGCTGGAGCAGGAAAGGCTGGCTGCTGAGTGTGAGGCTGGAACCGGTCTCTTCCCCTAACTGGGCTGGCCGCACCCCTCCCAGCCCCCAGGACACAGAAGACCAAAGCCAGCAGGGAGAAGGCCCAGCCCACATGTCCCGAGACTGTGCTGCCCTCTTCTGGCCAGTGCTGGCAGGTCTGGCTCACTACCCACCAACCACATCCTGCCTGCAGCTGGGCAACCCAGGCCTGCGAATCCTTAGATGGTGCTTTGAAGGTTCTGAGAAGGGCCACAGGGCATCCTACCCCAGGGACCACTCCTCTGCATGATCAGATGGAGGTGGCAGGTGAGGAGGGGTGTCCCAGCTGTTTTCCAAATCAGAGCCCATTGGAAGCACACCTTCCCACCTGTCCCGAGGGGTGAACCTGCTGACGGGACCAGGAGAGGCGGGGTGCCACAAGGTTGGCCTCAGATCCCCCAAGTCCAGCACAAGAGTGGGCCCAACTCTAGGTGCACTGCTTCCCAGTGGATTTAAACATGGACACTGGCGCCCCCTAGTGGCGCACGGGCAGCATGCCAGTTCTCGGCACCTCCACCCACTTTGGAGGCTCCGGTTTCCAAAGGCCAGGCTGTTTTGGGAGGATTGGGCAAATGCACGAGGGCGCAGAGGATGGTGCGGGCGATAAGGAGCTGGCATGGGGTGAGGTGTGGGCCTTGAAATGCTCTGTGCAGCTCTCGGGTGACAATTCTGAGGTTCTGAGGTGGGGTAAGAACTTACAGGCCCCAATCTCCAGGGTGCTGACTGAGGCTGACAGGGGCCATGGCCCGGCTCCAGGGAAGCTCCTGGTACTGAAAGGACAGAGGCGTGGGCGGTGGGCCTGGCCAGCTTCAGGCTCCACCTGGCACGCACCCAGAGCACAGTTAGGGGGCTGAAAACACAAAGCAGGCACACCACGTGATGCGAGGGCTACCTGTGCACACACCGGGCCTGGTGGCTCTCACCTCCAGCTTGTCTGGGAACCAGCTGCCGGAGCACAGGGAGGAGAGGCCCCGACCTGCTGGCTCGGGGGGGATGGCCACTGTGCTGCAGCTCTTACCTGCCTGGGCCACGCTGGGCAGGCTCCACGCTCAGCACTGTCACTGAACCCTCCCAGAGCTACGTGCTATGTTACCCCCAATGACGACAGAGAAACTGAGGCTGAGGGACGGCCACCCAGCTGGGGAAGGCAGGGACTTGAACTGGGGACCCTCTGTGCTCATTATCACACAGCCCTGCCCCTCTCAGGC